TTTTGGAACAGAAATTTAGTTTCATTTGTACTACCTTGAATAAGTAATGTTTTATCCTTTGGACTTTTTGTTATAGCTTGACCATTTAGATTAGTTTTAATACATTTATAATAGATTCGATAAATAAAAGTAATGTTATGAACATTTTCTAACATATTAGTAAATGCACCAGATAATTGAATATTTAATGTTAAGGCTTTTAATATATGAGGATCTCTAAGACTTAAAGTAAAATCAGGAAAACAATTAAAATGGATAGGACCTTTATGAAGGTCAGATTCCATCATACCCATTAAACTGTCATGATAATCAATAAAACGTGCATCTCTTAAGCATAAAAGAACATAAGTATTTTTACCTTCTTGGGTTAATGGCTTGATTCCTACTTGAATTAATCCTAGATGAATAAAATTATGACCATCTTTAAGATGTTTTTTGATTGACTCTTTGGATAATAATTGACAAGTTTCTTTAATTTTAGTTAAAGGATAAACTTGTTCAACAGTTTTGACTTGTAGATCGACATTGAAGGTTGATTGTAAAAATCTGGTTTTATAGATTTCTTTAGTTTTTACCTTAGGGATATTCCAACTTAAATCAATTTTTACATCTTGAAATTCATGTTCTTCTTCATTAATAAGTAAATCCGTACTAGGTATAGGAGCTAGAGTTGTAGATCTAGAGCTAACTGAAGAGTTACTTCTAAATAATCGACTTGTTTTAATTTTGTAAAATTAATCCAATTTTTCTTATATTCTATTATAACTTATATTGTTTTCTCATACTTTAAAATTAACTATTATTTATTTATCAACTAATCATTTTCTTGATATATCACTGAATTTAGAAAATGAATCTAAAAAGTAAACATTTTTTCTTTTTAAAAATGACCAGAAAGAGTTGCCACAAATATTGCAACCAAAGCATTGTGTTTTTTCTTCTTAAAATTAAAGTAATGGTTCCACTGATCTCTTGTGTTGATGAACGATTTCTTGGTCATTAATTTGTTGTCTGTATCATTTCCCTTCTTAATATATAGTATTACATTATGTTAGTTGAAATTAAAATTGCTCTAATATTAAATATAAAAAATTACACAAAAAATGTTTGAGCTTGAATCTTATAATAAAATAAATTTTGAGTTTATAATTTTATTAATTCAAATCTTAATATTTTCATTGTTTTTAATATAGATTATTTACCTATTTTCATTAATAAAACAAACTAGAAAAATAACATTTTAGTCATTAAACTTAATGGAAAAAGGTTGAGACCTCTTTTTTCCTTGACCCTTACCACTCCCAATATATTGGGATTGGCTAACCTTTTACTTTTTATTTTTTTTCCTCCTATCACTCACGGACATGTGTCTGTAAGGGTTGTGGGGGTCAAGAAAAAAGGAGTCTCTATCATTTCTGTAAACTCAATATAGATGTACAAAAAATATTTAAAATACTATTTTTCATTGAGTTTAATAACTAAAAATATATTTTTTTTTCTCATCAATTTTATTTAGTAAAAATAAGCAAATAGTTTAGATTGAAAACAAATCAAAAGATAAATATTTAAATTGATAAAATTAAAAATGAAGAATTTATTTTTTTTATAATAATCAAACCCGGGTTTTTTTTTTTTTTTTTTTTTGTAATTTTTTCAATTAAATAAAGGGACAATTTCCAAAAAAATGGTATAAACTTAAAATAATTGCAAAGAGGTGGAAGTACAAGACTTAATTGTACAATCTAATGCATAAATTATTTTGTGTTAGATACCATTTTTTTGCAATTCCCCCATAAATAAATAATAAAATGTAATTTAAAGATTAAAAAAAAAAACAAATGAAATTAACTTGTGTCTTTTTCAGTGCAGAAAGTCTAGGGAACTCAGAAAACCAAATCCAGAAAATACCCAAAATGCTAAATTTATGGTGTACAATAAAAGTTTTATGTGTGAGACCTTATCATTAATAATGAATCTAGACCTTTGATTTTAAATTTTGTTAACTTCTGATTCTTTGTGCCTGGATTCATAGAACTGCTCTTTTCAAGTGTGTACCAAATGAGCACGTTTTCCTGCAGCGGTTCCTTGTTGTGCCTCAAAACGACGTCGTTTTGGGACAAAATTTCCAAAAAAAAACAAACAAACAAAAACACAGAATCAAATAAGAGAAAGAGAAGAAGAAGAAGAAAGAAGCAGAGAGGAAGAGAGAGAGGAGAAGACCCAGAACACCTAGAACAATACAAACATTTGAACATCAATAACCAGATTTTTGAACAACAATACAAACACTACATACAAACAAAAATACAAACACTTCAATACATAGATCTCAGATATATATACAAACACTTCAAACACTCAGATATATATATACATCTTAGATTTTTGAACAACAATACAAACACTTCAAACACCCAAAACACCAATAACCATTCAGATAAAAAAAAAAATGAGGTTCAAAAATCTGAGATGTATGTGTATATATATACAGAATAACACTTGAATATCCTAGATGATAAATCAAAATTAATAAAAATTAGATCAATACAAACAGTCAAACATTAGATCTAGCAAAGTATATGAGAATAGCTCATATCTTACATATAGATCGAATAAAAAAACCCAAAAAACTACTTCGAATTAAGAATTCAATCAGTATCAATAGATCTGACTCAACAGTTCAGTGAACGACGAACAATCGGCAACGGACAACCGGGGGGGAATGGCAACGAGGATGACCAACGAACTCCCTCCGGTACGCCGGCGGCTAAGAAAAGAGGAGAAAAGATCGAGATGGTTGCTGGGTTAGTAGTTTTAGTGAGAGAAAGGAGGAGGAAGAAGAAGAACAAGAAGGAAAGGTGGGTTGTGGTGATGGTGAGAAGATGGTAGCGCCGTGGGAGAATGGAGGCCAAAGGTTGTCGCCTGTGGTGGTGCCTTCTTTCTTCTTCTCCTCTCTCTCTTCCTCTCTGCTTCTTTCTTCTTCCCCCTTCTATCTTCTTCTCCCTCCATTGCTCCTATTCTGTTTTCTTTTTTTTTTTTAATTGAAATCTTGCCCCAAAATGACATCGTTTTGGGGCGCTGCAGGACGGGCCGCAGAAATGGGCGTCTGAGGATCCGAACTCTGTACCAAGCAACTCGTAATATGGATAAATCATTATCAACCACCGATGGCTGTTTACCATACCACACCACACCACAACAGTCATTGATCCACAGTTGACTTAGTAATTTCCAATATTTGTGAGAAATCAATGACGAAGAGATTGATGAGAGAGAAACCATGGGAGCTGATGTTCTGATTTCAAGTTTATTAGAGAAATTAAACAAGTTAAAAGATGTTGTCCTGGAAAGATTTATCTATCCAAGATTGAGAAATCATGTACATGTTGCCATCGACGAACTACAACGTATTCGGAATGAACTTGAAGAAGCAGAGGATACCAGTACCTTTCTTCCCACTTTTTAGACTCAATGATGTGTCAAGATGATATTGGTTAAAATTAACTATTCTCTATTTATCAACCAGTCATCTTCTTGACATATCACTGAGTTCAAAAAATGAATCTAAAAAGTAAACTTTTATATCATTTTTTCCTTTTAAAAATGATCAGCAGGAGTTGCTCCAAATATTGCAACCAAAGCATTGTGTTTTTTTTTTCTCAAAATTAAAGTTATGGTCCCACTGATCTCTTGTGTTGATGAACGATTTCTTGGTCATTATTTTGTTGTCTCTATCATTTCCCTTGCTGTTAATATATAGTATTACATCATGTTAGTTGAATTTTAAAATGGGAAAATTATCCAAAAATCCCACAACAGAATTAGTTACACTATTCAGTCCCACCGATTTACATGTGCACCACCAGATCCTATTCGTAGAAACAGCAGTATCGGTTGGTCCTGTTTTGATTTGAATTAGGTTATTTGTGGACTTTTCTACAATTTCCTTTGATGGGTATCATAATTTATGGGATCCTGTTATAGTCAATCACGTGTGTGGAGGGGGAATATCTTTCCATAGTCAGCATAGAAAAGGGTTCATATATGGGGTGTTTACAGTGTGGCGAAACATTATCGCTTATAGCTTTTCTTGTAGGGGGCTAACTAGTTTTGCCATTGCCGAATTTCATTAGGTATTCTATTGACGTCGGTTACAACGATGCTTTCTTACCTTTACTTTTATAATTTATATGCAGTAGGTGTTGGGTGCACCACCCGTCCCCAGCCGTGGTTTGCCATTTCATTTTTCATTATCATGTGTTGGGAGAGGTATTGGTAGGGGAGATTAGTGGATTGGGTGTGAATTGTGTTGTGTGACATACACTGAAATGTATTCCTAGTTTCTGATATGCCACACACAGGGGTGTCTCATACATGTTTGTCATCATTTTGTCCGACATTTTCTTATATGTCTATGTTTTATTGTGGGGATGGACAACATTTTCATGTTACTATGTTGTTACCGGTTAACAAATGTCGCATACAAACTGAAATCACCATACACATTTGGAGATCTTGTCAATTTCGTGTGCGACAAATTTGTTGGGCTGACACCGGATAATTTTTGTTTGTTTTTCTAGATTCTGGGTTACAACAATTTTCAATTACAAACCGATGTAGACATGTAGAATATGGTTCACCTTGCCCACTCATTCCGGCTACAACTAATCGATGTTATGATTGAGTTACGCAATGGGGGAAGTGGTGTGTCGGACAGTGATTGTGTTTCTAACAGCTCGCATACACGTGGTCGCGGCGTCAAATGAGGGGTCAGGATTACGGGCATGGAATACGATGTCAACCTGTTGCCCAATTACTGTCCACATGAGGAAAAGGCTTTCTTATCAACGCCATGGGCTAACGGGATTCCTCATGGGGGTCAAAGTTTCAAAGAGGAAGCGCAAGCTTTCCGGAATGTCCTTTGCAAATATGCGGTGGAGTGTGGGTTCGATTTCAAATACTTGAAGAATGACTTGGTATGAAATACTACTGTCTGTTCGATGCGTGACATGAAGGGGTGCTCGTGGTTTGTGCATGTGCGAGTATTGGATGCTAATGGGTTTTTCTACGTTCGAAAATGGGATAGTGAGCACAGTTGCGATGTCGCTGTTTGCATCGTGAAGAACAGCTGCCTCAGGTCAGATATTGTATCCGACATTTTCTCACAATGTATATGCGACAAGCCTCTCACAAGGCCGATTGATGTTGCATTTGATCTGAAAAAGAATTACAGGCTTGAGATAAGTTCCCACGTCGCTTGGCTAGGTGTCGAAAAAGCTAGGGGTGAGTTATTTGGTGCCCATTCCGTATCTTTTGACCAACTATGTTGGTACAGCGAGGCCGTTATGGAACACAACCTGAGCACTTACATCAACATTGAATGTGATGTACATGACAACTGGTTCAAACGGTACTTCATATCGTTCAAGGCATGCATTGATGGATTCAAACATTGCCGCCCATTACTTTGCCTAGATAGCACTTTCTTAAAGGGAAAGTTCAAAGAAAATTTACTTGTTGCCACTACAAAGGACGGAAACCGAGGTAACTAACACACACCCTTCCATAGTATTTTTAAATTTATCAACCTTTGTCATTGTCGCACACATGCCCTGTACATTACACAACATATTAACAACACGTGACAAACCAGGTCTGTTTCCAGTAGCGTTTGCGATCGTTGGAGTGGAGAACACAACAAACTGGTCATGGTTTTTGCAGAACCTCCGGAATGCGTTCGGTGATGACAGGACCTTCACGTTCATTTTGAACTGACACGTCGGACTCATTGAGTCAATGCCCATTATCTTCCCCACTGCGCACCATGCATTTGGCTTGTAACACCTACAGAGGAACCTTAAGGACAAGCTTAAATATATGAATAATTTGCACAGGATTGGGTTGATCGCCAAGTTCAACAACTGTGCGTATGCTCTAACAGTTTCTGTATTTGAGGATATGGTTGGAAAGTTCACCAGATCCGGTAAGGCAATTGCGACTGCTTTCCTCTGAGATCGCCCTCCCCAAAATTGGGCTAATGCTTATTTCAGGTGCATAACATCTTTATGCCACACACTTTATACTTCGTTTCAACTTATCCAATATTTTTGCACTACCCTGTTACATTTACTTATTCTATATTCGTTGTGGTCAATGTCACGTAACGTAGGGGCAACCGGTATGGCGAGATGTGTTCTAATGCCGTCGAGTCTTTTAACAACTGGATTGCCGAGGCTTACCACCTTCCAATAACCAGATTGGTTGACAGCATTAGAACACAAATAATGCGGCAGATGTCAACATGGTGAGACGCTTCGCATAAATGGGCTAGAGTTATATGTCCAAAAATGGAAAAGCGATTAGAAAAATCTTACAACACCGGTAGGTCATGGAATGTAAGCCAATCAAACTCCAATGTGTACGAAGTCCACTCAAACCCGTCTGTCATGGTGGACGTCGACCGACGCACATGTTCATGTTTTCAGTGGCAGATTAACGGGTTCCCGTGCGCACATGCCATTGTTGCAGCATGTAAAAGTGGGCGAGACTTGTGTGCGCTGATCGAGCCGTATTTCCATGTGTCTGAATATCGGTTCTCGTACACCCGTAACATTATGTCTATACCAACTGTGGAACAACCATAACCAACTAGCCACGACTACGTCATGCTGCCACCCACCGTCAAACGACCACTAGGAAAGCCAAAGAAAAAGAGGATACCATCCTATGGAGAAGAAGTGCAACCAATCCGTTGTAGCAGGTCTAGCCGCATGGGAAACCATAATAAGAAGACATGCAAAGAACCAATCTAGCATTTCAAACCACGAATCGAGAGTTTATTATTTTTTGAATTAAACTATGTTTTATTTTTAGTTAATAACCATGGGGGGTAGTCATATATTTCCCTTCAATTCATTTCATTTTTCCAAACAATTTTGTGGTAATGACATTTATCCACATTCCTATCACTTTTATAATATATTATGACCATTTTACGTACACTCTAAATTTTTACCATTCCCCATACGGTAGGCATGGGGTGTGCATATGCCTAACTTCGTGTGACACCCTGTCATACGTGGTAGGGGTGCCCACCATCCTTCGCCACAAAGTCCTATTAATTGACTGATTTTGGACAAGCAACAACATCATACACTACCACACAACAGCCACCTTTTGCCAACCATGCTTATATTGATGACCACGAAAAAAAAAAAAAACAAACAAACAAACTGACATATTACATCAACTTCCTAGTATAACCTTAACCAACAAGCATATCACCTCATACCATAACATTTATCATGCATACTCATTGAACTACATTATTTTCGTACTTATTTATCTATGTAAGATTTTTGTTGGACACATACACTCCAACATGACACAATTTCACACATCAGATATGTACGTAATAAGTTCAAAGAAAAAAAAACAAAATACAAACAAACCACCGCACACAATGCATGCGACCAACCAAATGCATCCATTACATACACTTCTGAGTGTTTGCTTATCTAACATGTGGAACACACCCTCAAAATAAATTTACATTGTATATCTAATGCACTTTTCATATTGGTCGCTCATATTAACATAAGATCACACAAAAAAACATGCTATATTCATACACACATAAAAATCATAAACAACGCCTACTTGTCCAACTGACCCCAATCATTCTTCGTATCATATTCATAAACACATGGACATGGCCACAAATTAATTATCAAATAAAAGTAGAGTTAAACAATTCACCCAACACTAAAAATTTAGCAACTACTAACCAAAATTACTTTCATATTGTGCGCGAAAACCCCAAAAAAACATAAACGATGCAAACACCCTTGTCATGTATGTAAATCATTACACATTCTGCCAAATTGAAAACAACGACGACCAAAATGACACCGTAAACAAACTGTTATGCAGTCGAAAAAACTTATTTCAGTCCTCTCACACGATCGTTCACAAAACCCTTCACCATGTTCGCTCGCAATATGACACAATTGTCCCCTTGCAGCGACTGGGAGACATCAACATGGTGGACGTACTGCCACATCACAGCACACAACAGTATAGCACAGTCCTCCTTGCATTGTGTGACATCAAAAAAACAAAGTTTGTTAGCCAAATTATACAACCTCAGAATAAATTACATCCACACCACTATACTGTATGGATTTTCAATCTACGTAATACGTACGAGTCAGGCTTCTGCTACAGGCAATCAATGATTGACTCCAACGGAGTGTCACCAACTTGTGTCATGTCATCCTCAACAAGCCCGGAAATGAAGTCCTTCTGAATTTCAAAAATTGTGTCCCTCTGCCACACAACAACGCATACATTACCAAACCACAAAACACGATACAGTACGTACAACACAGCAACCAAACACACATCATTTGTAAAAACTCACCACAAACATCGTCTCCCTAAAGTGCTTGTCTTCAATCCCAGCATGGCGCCTCATAGAGTTATAATGCTTCCACTCTCCACTCTCGGTGTCATACACCACGAGAGTCCAATGAGCCTGACAACAAATCGGGAAAATGTATGTACCGATAGTCCTTACAGGCCGCCAGAATGTCCAAAACAAACCTATCCCTTGCATTGGTGTTGTCGTTCCGCAACATATCTTGCTTTGTTACCAACCCAATTTTAGTATTTACCCACAACCAATAACACCATCTCAAAATTATAAATAATAATTAACAACTTACAAGGCATATACTGCTAACAATGTGTGATTTATCTGGAAACTCCACCCCAGTAGCCCTTTATTCTTGTTCCTCCATTAACAATATTGCGTACGCGTCGATTACCTGCAACGTAATGACAATCCACTAAAACACTCACTACAATTACCATATGCCCACTACATAATACACTTATCGCAAAATAATCACTCACATTGCCACGCACTGACGCTGGGCAGATGAGTGATTTCAGGTCTGAAAAATAAATGCCCACATCGTGTTTACCATCATGCCACATCACCACCCTGCAGACAACATAACGATCATGACACACAATTACATGCACAACTCGAAACACAATCAAATCAAATTAGTATAACATACCGGTCGCCATATTCTGTGCACGCATTCTTAGTCATCAATTTCCACACTCCAAGGCGGTTGTTTATGTCAAACCCGGACCATTGCCGACCACTCGTCGCAACTGCGTCGAGGTCAATCACATTCTTCTCCGCCCAACATACGACCTTAAACCCCATAACTTCTACCACATTACTATCATCCGCAACGGTCGCCTTTGATGATACTTTCCGAGAAGCCGGATATGCAAAATCACACATCCTATGTCCCCCCCTCACCTTACTTTTTATGTTCATAACCAAAGAGCTCTGTCCACATTCAATTCGATCACTTGACTTCATACTTGGTCCCACAACAACTTTTGGGAGTTGTGTACTTGCTGCCCCCGTAACACCACCCGGCACGCTAGGCAGTTACTGATTACTTATCCTCACACATCCCCATCCTGCGCAATCGCACCAACACTATGCACTCCTGCAACACCAAATGTTGTATGCACATCTGCTGTTCCCATCCCAACACAACCAATCCCATCGTCGCACCCAACACCCACCCCTCAGAATGCTTGCGTGACGTTGTGCACAGCTTGTTTGGCTGATTGGTCTTCAAGTCTACCTATTGTCTTCTGCAACTCTGAGTTTTCCTCCACCATTTTCCTAAACTCGTCGTCCTTCACCTTGAACATGCAAGTGAAACTACCAACTATATCCACAACTTGTTTCTCTTTCATCCTTTTCAATTGTTCAACCTCGTCTTGCAACTTCATTATCATGGAATCTTTAATCATGGATTGTGTATGCAATGAATCAATTTCTGCTAACGCTTCTGTGAGTTTTACTTTATCACCACCCTCGCGCGTAACATGGCTTAAGCAACTTACTATCAACCCGTTACCCTATTTGTCCAGCCCACCAACCACCACGTCAGAACCAATGCGAGTTATGTCATCATTACCACTTAGCCCAAGTTTGCCAACCAACCCACCAAGAAACACGCCATCATTGTGATCGTCACCCTCGCTCACATCATCATCACCCCTTCCGTCCCCAACTACTCTATCAATCCCACCATTACTATCATGTCTACCTATTTCCCTGTATGCATCAACATTACCGTCCGGCCCTTTATCAAAATCTTTCCCAACTATGATAACTTTTTCAGATGCTTCACTGACAAGCCTTCCAGCCCTCACCTGACACACATGCACGTGCAAAAAACCCACCATTACAAACGTACAAAGTCAAAAAATACAACAAAACTAATTACTCACGTACCTGAAACAATGCCTCGGACGTCAAATCCAAACCACGCGTCCTCACCAGCAACGTGCTTATGTTCCATTTTAAGAACCTTAGGAACATGGTCGGTTTACCAGTGGCCACAATGTTGGTATGTTCACATAACCAATACTGCGTGACACCCAAAACCAACAGTTAACGAATTACAACGTTCCAATGTCTAAACATACGTATTCGGACAATACAACTAACCAGAAACATGTAGTAAGTTTACAAACAAAACTGCTTGTTAGCCTATATACATACCAGGAGGGCAACGACGCAACCGGTAACTTTATCTGGTTTTTGGTAAAATTCCCGCACTGACCCCATAAGTATGTTTAGAATTGCTTCTGTCCAGTCATACGTTTGCACTGTGTCCAAGTTGTCGATGTAGCGCACAAACACCCAACTAATCGTCTCGCCAGACGTTGAAAAAAAAAAGCTTCCCACAAAAATAAAGACACAGCAGTTTTGTCGTGTCTTCCTCGTCATGAACCGATCTACCTTTGACAGCATCATCAAGCAACTCTCTGATCAGATTTGTAGTTATTCTCCCTATGCCACCACACTGTCGCTGGATGAAATCTGAAGCCGGCCTTGTGCTTAGAGTTAGGTCGAGATGTTGGTCACCACACTGCAATCCAAACACCAACCTAATGTCTGCATTCCTAATCTTCACTGGACAACCGCCAATGTAGAATGCATCGTCCTGTCTATGGAATGTCCTCAAAATCTTTAACACAAGATCGTCACACTTTCTATACTCGTTACAATCCGGTTTGTTAATAACAATGGCTTCAAACATGAGCCAAAATGGTGTCTTTCTCAACTGCCGAAAGTGTCCCTCATGCAACCCCAACTCGGACACCACCTTAATAACACCTTCTATGTTCGACCAGAAATTGATACGGTGTGTCGTCTTCTTGGGTGACACGCATTTTTGTGTAACATTTTGAGGGGGGTTTGAACAACACACGACCCTACATTTTCACACTTAACTTCAACGATGACGGGACGGGCGCTGCATCCAACCATTTACGCTCACATGACCTAGTCCACGGGCTCCTCATCCATGCAACTTCTGCATATAAAAACACAACGTTAGTAACTAAAATTTATGAACAGTTGTACATATGATACATTGCCCCTATACCAATAACAACATTTTTTTTGGCCTCCTAAATTGTTCACACACACCCATCATAATACTTCACGATAAAGCTACCCCTAAACCCTGCAATTGATATACACAGCATCACACACCAATAACTCAAACAACAAATTATGCTACAATATTAGTAAAACATGTGTCACGCATGACTGCCATCCAAATTCAACCCACATTATATCTTAACATATTGACTAAGGGCATGGGGGCAGGGGTCCCAGCATTTGTCTTCAAATGCCAAAAGTGCACCCACACATACACATTTTATGAACACACGCAGACGGATAACAACCACACAACCTACATACCAATTACCATTCAACAGTCCACACACAAAAAACACACACATACAGACAAACCATGAATAGACAAACCATGAATAAACTCACACACACAGGGTAATAAACGACCCAACCAAGACGACATTCATACATCACACACATACGCTTGACACACAATGGGACAAACTGACTCACACACTATTATATACAATATATATGCACATTTACAGCCCACCGTTAACACCTCACCAACATAAGGATTCAATAAGAACAACTTACGATTGTTCGTCATTATAATAGGGTCACAGATTAGTGTCGCCAGTCCACCGTCATCACACTAACAACCCTAATCATCGCCCAAAGAAAACCCCAAAATTCTGTCTCCAGCCCCCAAACCCCAAACTCCAACGCCTACCTAACAATAACACAATCGTATTCTTCACTTGCGTCATTCAGATCCAAAACACCAAATCTCAAAGATTAACACAGCAATTCAAAACCTGATTACACCAACTACAACAGCAAGATTATAGGGATTCGATGACATCATGTTCTGGTGATTGAATAATTCAATTGGGGATTCCATAAAAACACAAATGGTATCGACGTAGGGGTCGGGTTGACGTAATCTGGTCAGATTTTCGCCCCGTCACACACGTAGCAACCAATACAATCTACTATAGCCCTTTTCCCAAAGTGACACCTAAACTCGTCCCACTTCCTACGGAATACCAACAGCCCATGGCCCATTAACGTTCAAGACGAGTGCACGTTAGTAAACACACATGAAGTAGGACTAATCAAACTGCAAAATATCTTTTAGGACTATCTGGACCACCTTTTCACATTTGATGATTTATCTGTAAGTCTCCCTTCTATAATAACTATAAAATTAAATATGAAAAATTACACAAAAAATGATTGAGCTTGCATCTTATAATAAAACAAATTTTGATTTTATAATTTTATTAATTCAAATCTTAATATTTTGATTTGTTTTTAATATGAATTATTTACCTATTTTCGTAAATAAAAAAACAGAAAAATAACATTTTAGTCATTAAACTCAATATAGGTGTACATAAAATATTTAAAACACTATTTTTCATTGAGTTTAGTAACTAAAATATTATTTTTTTTCTTGTCAGTTTTATTTAATAAAAGTACGCAAATAGTTTAGATTGAAAACAAATCAAAGATCAATATTTAAATTGATAAAACTAAAAATTAAGAATTTATTTTGTTATAATAATCAAACTGGGTTTTCTTTTCCCAATTAAAAAAAGGGACATTCTTAAAAAAAAAAAAAAAAATATAAACTTAAAATAAAAAAAAAAGGTATAAACTTAAAATAATTGCAAAGATGGAAGTATAAGACTTAATTGTACAATCCAATGCATAAATTGTTTGTACTTTCACGACATTGTAATTATTTTGTGTTGATGCCATTTTTCTGCAATTCTCCCATAAATAAATGATAAAATATAATTTAAAGATTAAAAAAAAAGTGAAATTAACTTGTGTCTAGGGACTCAAAAAACCAAATTCAGAAAATACCCAAAATGCTAAATTAATAGTGTACAATAAAAGTTTTATGTGAGACCCTATCATTAATGATGAATCTAGACCTTTGATTTTAAATTTTGTTAGCTTCTGATTCTTTGTGCCTGGATTCAAACAACCCGTAATATGGATAAATCTTTATCAACCACCGATGGTTGTCTACCTGTTAGCAAAAATCTAGTTCAGGCCAAATCGACAGAGGAGATTCGATAGAGAAACCAAAATTTTCACAAACAACAAAAAGATCAAGTAATTATGGTTTGAATGTTCAATACATTACCAGATTCAAGAACTTCTTTGGAGGTTGTAATGTGAAGAAACAAACTAAAAACTGATAGAGTACTGCTGAAATTGTTACTTGTTACAAAGATTTGAACAAGAACAAAAACAAACAAAAAAAACAAAAATACAAAAGAACCAGAAAAAAGTTTACAGATTACAATAATCAGAAAACGATTACAGAACCATTAAATTAAAAGTACTCCTAAAAGGAATAAACTACTCCTAGGCTAGAAGCTATCTATTTCTAATTGAACTCATGCAGAGTTGTGTTAATGATTGATCACTTTTTGTTGTCTTTTTGCCCTAGGTAGTTTCCCTTCAAGACTTGAAGAACCACAATCGTTGCAACATCATGGGCAGTTCCACACAGCCACTAACGCACGTTATTTTCCTTTCCTTCACTTCTTCTCATATAGATCCTTGAATGACGGAAGTCTGAGTGTACACGTGGCTTGGCTTCACTTTATAATCACTCTAGCTACACCAACAAAACAAATAAAATAATAATAGTAATAATAATAACGAAATATAAATATATATGTGGCCATAATTTTATATTAAAAATAATTTATAATCTAAATCAATAGATCAAAATCGACAGGCAATTTGGCCACAATCAACAACCCATAATCAATTAAACGGGACTTGGCCATAATTAACAAGCCATAATCAACAGAAAAATTTTTTTTGGTGCCAACACTACCACACCACACCACACCCGTCATTGATCCACAGTTGACTTAGTAATTTCCAATATTTGTGAGAAATCAATTACGAAGAGATTGATGAGAGAAACCAGGGAGCTGATGTGCCGATTTCAAGTTTATTAGAGAAATTAAACAAGTTGAAAGACGTTGTCCACGAAAGATTTATCTATCCAAGACTGAGAAATCATGTACATGTTGCCATCGACGAACTACAACGCATTCAGAACAAACTTGAAGAAGCAGAGGATACCAGTACCCTTCTTCCCACTGTTTACACTTCAGATGACACCAGTACCCTTCTTCGCTCTGTTTACTCTGCTGAATTTTTAATCAAAACTTTCCTCCTCAACACACCAATTCATTGCTGACGGAATGATCTAAAAAATCTTACCAAAAACCTACCAATTCCACCATGGACCCAATTACGGTTCAGCTCCAAATTGAAAAAATTCGTGAAGAGCTTAAAAGCTGTGCATAGTGAATCGAGGCCTCGCAGAGACCATTCAACAATCAATCACAAAACCCATGAATTTAATGATGATGATGATGATGATGAACTTGTTGGATTTGGAGATGTGGCAGAGAAGAATCTGGTAGATCGACTAATCAACGACGACAAGAAAAGCCTCTGCGTGATTTCTCTAGTCAGTAAAAAGGCTGTGGCAAGACAGCTCTGGCAAGGAAGGTTTATAACAGACTCGACATTCGGCAGTCTTTCGAGTGCCGTGTTTGGCTCCATGTTCCCAAAAATAGAGCTCATGAGCGTGGATGAGCTGTCTGCTCTGCTTTTCCAGACTTTAATGGAGCTCAGGTTTCTAATAGTCTTGGATGATGTCTCCTCGTTTGATGTCTGGCTCATGTTAGCATGTCCCTTTGCAGACACCGCCAATGGTAGCAAAGTCATCCTCACTACTCGCGACTCTAAGATAGCCTCGGATGTTGATCCGTGGAGTCGCCCACCGCTGGAACTCAAGCCCTTCACTGATGAGCTGAGTTGGGAATTGTTCTCGAACAAGTTTCGTGTAGGCAGACATGACACAGATACACACCACCAGTTAAACAGTTACAAGGTAAAAATTCTGAAAATATGCGGCGGTTTGCCTCCAGCAATTGTCCTGCTTGGACGATTGTTGTCAACTATACAATCTAATGAGTTGGTCTGTGTAATTGATAGTCTTTTAATCGACTTGGACAAACTTGATCAATCACCTCTCTCAAATATTATAGCTTTATGTTTTCGTGAGCTACGGTCTAAGTTGAAGCTATGTTTTCTTTACTTGGCTCTCTTTCCTAAAGAGTATGAGATCTCCGTGCGGAGGCTGTTGCAGTTGTGGATTGCAGAGGGTTTTGTGAAAATGTCAAGTACCCAACAACCTGAAGATATAGCCGGTAAATATTTGAAAGAACTCGTGCACAGAAACATGATTGAAATAGCAACAAGGAAGGAAGACGGAAGGCATAAAACATGCCGAATGCCAAGCTTTCTTCATGATTTCTTCTTTCAAAAATCTGAGGATATAGGATTTATTCACTCCCACCATTGCAGAGCGAATTGTACGCCGATAGATTCACCTGCTCAGCTTAGAATCCAAACAAAGTCCCCATTGAAGAGATGACCGACGAGGAGTATGCTGCTCATCTTGAAAAAATAGAAAAATACAACACAGATGAGTATAAATGTCGATACTATCTTTTTGAATTGTCTTTCAGATCAATTTTATGATTATTATGATACTACTTACACCACTACCAAGAAAATTTGGAAAGCCTTGCAGAACAAATATGACACTGAAGAGGCAGGAGCTAAAAAATATGCTGCAAGCCATTTTTTTCGCTATCAGATGATAGATGGAAAATCAGTGGTGGAGCAAGTTTAAGATTTTCAGGTGTTAGTAGCTGAAGTTAGATCTGAAGGCATCAAAATTGGAGATAATCTTGTTGTAGCAGGTATTGTTGACAAACTTCCATCATCTTGGAGGGAGTTCCAGAAGTCGATGCATCACAAGCTAAAAGAGACGTCCTTGGAGACTCTAATCACACGAATTCAGGTGGAGGAGGAAGCACGAGGACAAGATGTGCTTATGACACAGGAGCATTCCACTGCAAAGGTAAATTTAACTTCTGGAAATACTTTACCTAAAGGTCGATTTCATAAAAATAGTCACTTGAAGCCACAAAGGTAAATTTAACTTCTGGAAATACTTTACCTAAAGGTCGATTTCATAAAACTAGTCACTTGAAGCCAGTTAAGAAAATTTGGAAAAATACTAGATGGCCACAAAATAAAAATTACCCGAGGCAAAAGAAATGGAACCAAGAACCCCCTTCACAAGATATGACAAATGTGACATGTTTTGTGTGTGGCAAAAGTGGGCATATTGCTCGAACTTGCAAATTTCAGAAACAACAGTCTCGACCACAATCTAATGTTACCGAGGAACCATTTGTGGCGATGATTATAGATAATTTTATGGTTCAATCTGTAGAAGGGTGGTGGGCAGACTCTGGTGCCAATAGGCATGTCTGCTATGATAAAAATTGGTTCAAAGATTTCACTCCTTTTAATGAGGAGAGGATTGTTATGCTTGGTAACTCCAGTTTAACCAAGGTGCTCGGGTATGGGGATGTTGAGCTGAATTTTATCTCTAGACGTGTGCTTGTTTTAAAAGATGTGTTGTACACACCGTCCATGAGGAAAAATTTGATGTCAAGTTATTTGCTCAACAAAGATGGTTTCAAATAGACTATTGAATCTGACCAATATGTAATCACTAAAAAAGGCATATTTGTGGAGAAATGGTATGCTTGTGATGGAATGTTTAAATTAAATGTTGAGAATAAGAAAGCACATGTTTCTGTTTACATGCAGTCTTCTATGAATTTTTGGCATGCTCGTTTGTGTCATATTAATAGCCGATATGTGGGAGTCATGAGTAGTTTAGGATTAATTCCCAGACTAACAAACAAGTTCTGCTCGAGCTTGAGACACATAACTCCGCTCGAGCGCCCAATCCTCCGCTCGAGCGGACTGTAAAACAGTGCAGAGATATTGGATGCTCGGATTGCACGCTCGAGCGTGGTGGAAATAGATATTTTATCACTTTTATTGATGATTTTTCAAAATACACTTATGTATACTTGTTGAAAAATAAAAGTGATGCTTTTGAAAAATTTAAAGAATTCCTTCTTGAAGTCAAAAATCAATTTGGTAAAAAGATTAAAAGATATAGAAGTGATAGAGGCTGGGAGTATGAATCTTTTGGATTCAACTCGTTTGCTCAGTCTTTGGGAATAATCCATGAAACTACTCCATTATATTCACCTGCATCCAATGGTGTAGCAGAAAGGAAAAATAGAACTTTAACTTATTTAACAAATGCTATGCTAATTGAAGTAGGTGCTTCTTCAAATTTGTGGGGAGAAGCAATTTTAATTGCATGTTATGTTATGAATAGAGTGCCATATAAAATAAACAAAAGTTACACCTTGTGAGTTGTGGAAAGGGCATAAGCCAAATTTGAGATATTTGAAGGTTTGGGATTGTCTAGCTTTTGTTAGACTTGTGAACCCTAAAAGACCTAAATTAGGTGTGAAAGCTGCCACTTGTGCTTTTCTTGGATATGCAACAAATAGTACAGCCTATAGATTTTTTGATATTGAAAACAAAATAATTTTTGAATTGGGTGATGCAATTTTTCATGAAGAAAAATTTCCTTTTAAATCTAAAAATGGTAGGGGTCAAAATTATCAAGAAAATATTTTATCTGAAACTGGTTCCTCTACTCCTCTTTTACAAAACCAAGATACTATAGTTTTTTAACCTAGAAGGAGTAAAAGAGCCAGATTAGAAAAAGATTTTGACCCTGATTATCATGTTTTTAATGTGGAGGAAACTCCATTAACTTTACAAGAAGCTTTGGCATC